TTGTTTTTTTCTCTCATTAACTTTATTGGTACATTTTCGGTATACAGTACAGTTACATTCATCATTGGGATCTTGTACCTTTACATGACAGGTCTTGGTTCTCATTTTTTCCCTTTGTCCCTGCCCTCCCTTCACCCCCTCCTACCTTCCACATTTTCAAACACTTTATTTCCATTTTTTCATTTTCTCATATTTTTTTCTTTTCCCTTATTACCTTTCTGCTACCCTTCACATTTAAAGTTCATTTTAAAATAATACTATTTATAGTTTGGGTTTCTTATAAAAGGGGAACCATGTGATATTTAAACCCACATTTCTGATTTATTTCACTTCACATAGTATCTTGACATGCATCCACTTGTGTAGAAATGACTCAAGTTTATCCTTCTTTATAGCAGAGTAGTACTCTATTCTGTATAAATGCCACCTTGTTTATCCATTTACCTGCTAATGGATATATAAGATGCTTCCAAGCAAAATAATGGATAGATACTAGGAAGTTGGGGAAATCTTTTTCAAATGGAAAGAAAATAAAAGATGGAGGAGAGAAGGGAGGCAAAGGGAAAGAGTTTTAAAAAAGAGAGAAAAATAAAAGAAAAAAGGGAATAAAGTTTTTTCAAACAGGCAGGGGATCCAGAGTAGGGGGAACTAGGGAGAGAGAGACAGGATGAGAAGGGGACCATAAAAAAGAGAGAAAAATAAAAGAAAAAAGGGAATAAAGTTTTTTCAAACAGGCAGGGGATCCGGAGTTGGGGGAACTAGGGAGAGAGAGACAGGATGAGAAGGGGACCAAAAAAAAAAAGAATTAAGATGTGTTATGCACATTTATTAATCTCTCCATAGTAAATGAAATCACTACATATGGCAAACACTTGCTAATCTAATGAAAAGGTAGACAACCAAAATTTTAAAAAACATGTAAATAACACAATAATGTAAGATACACCAACAATTTTTATAACCAAAGGTAAAAATGTTTTACAAGTTGGACAGGACAGAGAGAACCACAAAGTAAAATGAACACAGATGACTTCAGTGCACTACTTCCTCTCTTGTAGTACATGCCTCAGAGGGATGTCTGCTTGTTAGTGGCTCATGGGAACCAGTGGAGGACGGTGGAAATGTCAACC